CAGCGTTTAACGCCTCTGACATGCAAGATATATTAAAGTAAGTACATGTTCACTGTAACCATGATTAAATCATTGTAAACAAGAGAATCAAATATTGTATTTTAAATACCATGTAATAACATAACCATGTCTAAGTTTCTAATTGTTTCGTAAGCTTCAATTTGTTACGAATATTAATATTTTAGACCTGCTGTCATTTCCTGTAATTCTTTACTAGTATTAATGCTATAATTATTGAGCGAATACTTGCGCAGTGCGCCAGTAGCCTCGTGTTCACTATAAACTAGACCTTATGTTCTGCTTCAGGCTCATGCCTCTAGCTTCTTACTCCGACTGTCTCGATATTCGTGCTCCGGGCCTATACTATAAAAAAGTTAAGAGATCGTAAGTTAATCAGCCAGTCATAGACGGCCTTTCAAGCAAAATCGACCAATCATAGACAAGAAAATAGAGCGTAAGTACTTACGTTCAATTTTTTTGTCTATGATTGGTGGATTTTGCTTGAAAGGCCGTCAATGATTGGCTGATGAACTTCTGTTGTTAGCAGTCACGAACAAGTCCCGCGGTCATAGTGTGGGGGATTTAATTATCCCAGTGTCATAACTGTTTGACTTTTGAGATTAACCATTGAAAATACTGTTCATGAATACTTCTGGATTAATGTATAATTCTGACTTACACATATAGCAAGTTCAAATAATCATGAAATTGCTAATCGATTTTATCGTGACTTTGTAACTTTTTCGGTCAATGTGATCGACCTCAGGTAACCTAGACAGCATCTACTTGCGAGTCACTGCTGAGAAATTGTTCACGAGTACATGGTTAAAAAATGAATAATTCCAGAAATGAATACTATGCATTTAAAAGATGACTGTTTCGTATCTGATTGGTGTTGATATTTATTCAGGTGCGAAAGGTTTGTGCACGTTCGGCCTTTGGAGAAGTGAAAGACAAATATCTCTATATCGTGACACGGAGAAGTGTTCTATTTCCTTTCAAACTTATTTATGTAGTCTCATTGAACTATTTTAAGCCCATATTCTGCTTCACTGCAATTCAGTTTATGTGTGGTAGAATTACTTAACGTAAAGTTAGCATTGGTCTTGTGAGCAGCAAACGCTAGATTTTGATTTATGGCAGTCAGATAAACAGATATCCTTCTGTTGGTGGGTGTTCACTGCATGGAATCCTAGATCGGAAATATTTTGTGACTGATTAAATATTTTTCCTTTCATGAGCAATTCATGACTTTCAAAATGTACTTTTCAAACCAAAAGCAAATTTTTATTATTCGTTCATATATGTGGGACTGGATGCAATTTAGTGACTATATTTACTTTTTGCCTTTTTTCTCATTTTGACAAGAGTAAACCCTCTTGATCCAATTAACAGTCATGGAATTTCGCCGTCTCTCATGGATGGATAAAATATCCATTCACCATGTAAATAAAGTTAATAAGTACAGAAGACAGACCTGCTTGCTCAAAGTTATCTTACATCGTCAAAGCAAATCCTTAGAGCTGCTACCGACGCGGTTCTCTCATCGCGGTGTTGAATTTACATTACTAAGATCTTTCTTAATAGAACGCACGAATAATCTTTAATGATTTTTTTTGCTTTGATTTTAGTTGCTTTTACATTTGAAGTGAAATAGTTTATGTGAAGTGAACGTTGGAAAAAGGCTTAGGAATTCCTCTTCGCATGTGATCCAAAGATTCGCCAGGACGAGCACTTCGTAAACCTCATTTTTGTGATATACAAAAGTCTCTTGACATTATCCTGTAAATGTTCAGTTTTTAATAATGCAGATAATTGAAAATTTTCACAGTTGAATAAATTGAAGCTTGAACTTGATCTCGCCGATCTAAGATGAAAATTGCCGAATAGGTTGACAGTTTTCATTCAACAGTTTTCAACGAAGTTTTCATTCAACTATTATTATTTAACCATATAATCCAATTACCCATATTTCAGTAATTATCCATAGCATAACAACCTGATGCGAAGTGGTTCTTGTATTGACCTATACAATATGAATCCAAAATTTGTCTATCACTTTAATTTCAAACAATTTTTGTCATCTACATAAATCAAATGATGTGAGACTGCCAGCTCGATTACGGACGTAAACTTGATTGGATAATGTAATTATATAGCATTTGACCGAATCGATGGATTATATTACACTTGTATAGTGACGCGCAACCTAAAGCGACGGTGTTCACTCTCTACCGATTAAAATCAATTTTAGTGTTCTATATTTGTATAATTGCAAGTTTTCTTAATTTATAGTAGGTACGCTACCTAAGAAAAACATATTTCTCCAATTGTTTCGGTGCTTTTATAAAATTTCAAACTCCCAGTTGTTCACGCACCTGTCATACATGCACCGCTGCTGTCGACTCACTGACTCAACGTGGCACCGGAACTCCGGTAAAAAAACTCTGGTTTGCTCAAGTGCACATGCCATTCTCAACGCCTCGCAGACTCAGCTGCATGTCATCAGTAGCAGGGCACAACAACAGTCTGTCTGTTTTTGTTGAGATGTCAAAATTTATTCACGCCCCTTGACCCTTGCTTTGAGTCATTCTTATTACATCATAGATATGGATGCGCCGCTTCTTCGCCAGTAACGATTGTGTTTATTCAGCAGCTTATATTATTGTATCTACCTCTCCTAGACGAGGTTTACTGTTACTGCTATCGTTACTCTAAATATTCCATTGTACTTGAATTTGTAGTGTTTTCGTTTTGTCAGCTACATATGTTACGTGCATTCTTTCTATTTAAAATTCCAGCTGGAGATTTGCCCTTTCAAAAATCATGGCTGGCTTGTCGGATGCCTAAAGTTGGAAATTCACTGGCCGCCGATTAGCAGCCCTTGATTTTTGACAGGCTCTTGATTTTCTATAGCTGCCTAGCGCGTATCTCTATTAGCTAACACTGCCAATGTGTTGGTCCTTAAGAATCGAGAACGAGCCTAACATCTAATTAACCCCTTAAGTCCGTTTATGTAGTGTTCTATTCTCTAATGCAAAATATACTATGCATTTCAAATAATTTTCTGATCTTTTCCGCGCACATTGAGTTACTTCCAACGATTTCTTGCTCTGTTGAAATTATTCCTATGCTAATTAATTTGTAAAAACCAATTTAGATTCAAAGGCTCTCACGATTCTTCAGGAGCAACATTCAACCTTTTCTCCCTGCCAAGCCTAAAATTAGATCACGGGTTCAATTCGTACAGTCTACTGGGTATTGAAGTAAATATCTGCCAAATCTACAGCCATTGACTTTTATTCTATTATCCTTTAGCTACAATTATACGAAAAAATTGGTGACAATTCAGAGAACCAGGATTATAGCAGTGACTTGCGGGTTCGATCCAGCTTCCACTGACAGTTCTGGTCAAAATCGGTGAGGTGGCCTCGTTGGTTGTTAAAAACGACAAAACTCGAGCAGTGAGTTAGAGGTTTGAGACCACAGCAAGCTATCTAAATTCTGTGATGCCTAGGATTGGCCGCAGGCCAGAGTTGGCCTATTTTACGCAACACCACCACTAAGTCCGTTGGCCACTAGCTTTGCAGTGGGTGAACTGTTGGTTTATTCAATGAGGCTGCTAGTTGCTAAATGGACAGACTTATATGAGTCAAAATATTTTCTCAAGATATATTTCGTTTGTATATTAGCTAATATGACTGCTGTTGTGTGCTGATTGTTTTTACTTTAAGGTTAAAAGATCTCCGAGGAATTTTCCAAGTATATTGAAGCTCAAGTTAATAAAGCCAATAAACGACTTGGACTGATCAGACGCTCTTACGAGTACATAGATGCTGAAACGATGAAACTGTTGTTTGTCGCTGTCGTGCGTCCAAACCCAGAGTTTGGAAACGCTGTGTGGTCACCAAAACTAAAAAAAGGACAAAAAGTTAGTTGAGAGTGTTCAATGACGTGCAACAAGGATAATTTCGGGATTAAAAGGCAAACCTTATGTAGAGAGGTTGAAGATTAATAAGCTTCCAAGCCTCGGTTATCGGCGTCTGCGTGGTGAAATCTTTGAGGCCACCAATGAGTTCATACAATGAGGTCACCCACGTGGGCCTGATCAATGAGGTCAGACCCACGATTTATACATTGTCCTAGAAGCGAAGGATTACTAGAATTTGAAACAAGAACCAACACCAGGGGCCACGGCTATAAACTAAAAGAACTGTTGTAACACATCCATGCGACAACATTTCTTCTCGCTTCGATTCACCGACCTGTGGAACAGCCTCCCTGGTACGATTTAACGCTCCGAGTATGAACGCCTTCAATAACAGACTAGACGAAGCTTTGCAGTAACCTATATGTTCAGTCTTGCAATGCCTAGCACCTTACGGACCAGGCAATAAGTCCAGCAGCTATCTTAATCAATCGTTAGTTGTGGAAAGATTGGGTTCAAAAGGCCGGATCCCTTGTGGATTCAAGTCACGAAAAGTACAGGAATCGGCAACAGGCAATGGGCCTATTTTATTAACACGTTTTTCTTAGCTTAGCTTCGCGTTTGTTTGTTTGTTTGTTTGTTTGTTTGTTTGTTTGTTTGTTTGTTTGTTTGTTTGTTTGTTTGTTTGTTTGTTTGTTGTTAACATTGACAACGAAAATTAGCCCACTTCTGATTGACACGTTTTTTTGGGGCAAACCATAATTTATTTTCTACTTTTTAGTCCACAAGAAAAACGTGTTTTTTTAAAAAGTTTTTTTAAGTATTTTATTTTTTCAATGCCGACACTTCTATTCTATTCTAAAACACGAGTTATCTTTAACAAATTATGCTAATAATTTGAAAAAAAAAAGGTTTTACTTACTATTCCAATCATATGATCGCAGCCAAACAGGTCTTTTCAAAAGGCGAAATTAGTTCCCGGAAGACATGAATCAGATTTATTTTCTTTCAATTTATTTTACGACATGTTGAGCATGACCATTGGTTGTCACGAGGAAAGAAAACAAGATCTCAGCTGGGCTGATTGTTGCGTTGGCAGGGCAGTCACATTTTAGATGAGTATTAGAATTAGTGCGCACTTATCTTGAACTCTAAATTGTTTGTATACAATTGTCAATATGAGTCACTCAGATGGACTGGTTCACCGTCGGAATGTGAATCGAAGTACTGCTGATAGTGTGAATCAAAATAACGACAACAATGAGGACAAAAGACGCAACTCGAACGGCGGAGAAGAGGATTTGGAAGATGGTGATTCAAAGGATACAAGACTCACACTAATGGAAGAAGTGTTGCTTCTTGGACTCAAAGAAAAGGAGGTAAACAAACTGGAAATTTTTTTATTGATTTAAAATGTATCATATAATCAACTAGGTACCTAGTCTAGGTATGACTGTGTCAATGACCACTGACCAGTGTCCAGTCTCCAGACAGTCCAGTGAGCAGGATGGAATTCTAATTTTGAAGGTTCATATATTATTTCGATCCACCAAGACCACTTTTTCTATCCAACATTGTTATTTGAGGCAAAAAATGAACTTCTTAAAGGCATAAAATACATAGGCTAACTTGCTCAGTTTCTATAAAGTACCTAACCACTTGGAAGTTTTATGCCTGCACCTTTCACTCAACAATTAAACTTAGACTTATATAAAGTATTAGTTAGTTAAAAGTTTGTCTCTTAAGTTGACCGCAATGAACTAAACTTCATTATGTAATCATTAGGCAGGGATTTCCATCATGCGACACTAAACACGCAATTCAGAGTTCAGACGATCAGAACTA